GCCCCAGGGATCATAGAAGCACGTGAGGACCTATTCCCTTCGCGCAGCCGCGCCGCATTGACTGGGTTGCTGTTAAGGAACTTAAATTAAGTTACCATAATGGGTATATGTAGTAATTTATAGGGTTTCCCCAATATAGTAACTTAATCTAAGTTCCCTAACAGCAACCCAGAAGCAGGACACGGATGTCTGCACTTCAGTCAAAGCCAGCAGCGCATCTGAGCCACTGCAGAGTGGCCTGTGAAGGGCCGAAAGAACAAGAGGAGCTAGCTGCTTGCGTGTAAAGACGTTTGCGGTGCAGCAGGCAAAGAGGGCTGTTGTCACGCGACCCACGTTCATGCCAACGGAGTTAGGCAAGGCAGGTGCTCCACAGCATGAGGCATATAATGCCAACAGCAGGCGAGTGCCAGTAGGGCAGTGTTCCAACTGTGACAGCGCCAGGCCCATGTTTGCAAGGCTTTTGAACCAGAATCTTTCACAAAGCAAAAGAAGCAAGAAACCTTTCACCTATGCACACAATGCCCGTGGGGACAGAAACTTCAGATGATTGTTACTATTGTGATTAGTATAGTTGTTATCATTGTTATCACTACTAATAGTGTGCTTGTTATTTTGCTATTTCTACTACGCTAAACCCTAAACCATTAGTATTAGTATTAGTAATAGTACTAGTATTAGTATTTAATATTAGTATTACTAGTCTTCTTCTTATTATATCTATTGTTGTTAGACCTTCTTATTATTCCTATGATTACTACTACTATCATTACTATTCCTACTATTATTACTATTATTATTACTATTAATACCATTATTATTGTTATTATTGTTGTTATTGCCCTAAACCCTAAACCCTAAACCCTAAACCCTAGACCTTATTAGACCTTCACGTCTTTCGGCCCCCGGCAGCGAGGTGAAAGTCCCTTCCTGCAAGCAGGCCCGCTTCTGTCTGAGTAGCTCGGAACTGCTAGGGTTACTTAGGCTTTCATATATGTATATATATAGGGGGTTATATATGGGATTATATGGCGTTATATGGGGTTATATGGGGTTTTATAGGGTTATACATGGGGATATATGGGGTTATATGGGGTTATGCAGGGTTACGTGGGGTCCTGCCCCTCGATGTTCGACGTGCCGGCGCAGAAACCAACCAAGCATCCGATCCTGCTATCACAAGCCCTGCATCCACTCATACCATAGCACGTCATTTGAGCTATAGTCTAAACTCCCAGTATCCCTCTTAATAATCCCTAGAGTAGTCCCCTATATACTTCCTTCTATAAGCCCCCTTTCAGGAGTTTAGACCGTGTAAACCCTGAACCCTAAACAGTAGTTTCCATTTTGCTTTCCATTCTCCCTATATAACCCCACTATAATCCCCATAAGCCCTTACATAACCCTTATAATCCCTATATAACCCTTATAATCCATAAATAACCCCTAAATAACCTATATTATCCCGTATGTATCCCCCCTTTTAAGGATTTCATGAATTGCAGCTCGGCCTCTTGTTCAGGCTTGGCCTTGGTGATGTATCTCATTTGCTCTGACCTGGCCATTGTCCAGTAGGCAACAGGCCTGTTAAGGGAGCAGAAAAGGGATGTATAGGGATATATAGGGATTATACAGGTTATATAGGGATAATGGAAAAGAAGATGGAGACTACGACTTAGGGTTTTGGGAATAGGCTTATGGAGATCCTCCCCTTTTTGGGATATATGGGGGTTATATAGGGGTTATATAGGGTCTTATAGGGTCTATAGAAATTATACAGGTTATATAAGGATCATGGAAAAGAAAATGGAAACTACTGTTTAGGGTTTAGGGTTATTAATCACTACTTTGAAGGCCTTTAATATGAGGAACCCTAATGTAGTCCCTATTAAGGGGAGGTGGTTTACTAATCGCGTCACCAGGCTCTCAGCCTAAACCCTAGACCCTAAGCCCTCTGTCATGAACAGAAAAAACATCAGGACCTACACAACTTTTACACAATTCGGGAAGACATTTGCCGTATCTTCGGGTGACATAGCTCCACAGGAAAGCGCGGCTATGGCCACTCTTTGGGCGACAGGAGATGAGCGAGGGAGTCCTCACACAGACTTGACTTCCCAAAACTGGGTTTATGGGTTGAGGGGGTTTAGGGGTTTAGGGTTTAGCGGTTTAGGGGCTTAGGGTTTTGGGGTTTAGCGCTTCAGGTCCCAAAACTGAAGCTTAGAAGTCTTCAGTAGCTGAATTTGCCAAGGCTTTCCATGAGGGCTGCTTCTCCACCCTAGCCGCCTTGCAAACCTCTTCACCTTCACTGCTGCTTCGTGTCATTGGTATCGCATACTTAGGTTGGCCCCTAAAACCCCATTGAATAATATTAGTATATAGGGTCCCTTATTAAAGCCATTAGGGAAAATATTGAATATCCTAGGGGCCTACCCAGATACAATTCCGGATGCGTGTCATTAATGCGGGAACTGATGTTCAGCTTGACGTCCTTGTTGAGCTCCGCGCTCCGTGCAGGCATAAGATCGCGCCTAGCAGGTCGATGGTGGTCACAGGTTCCAGGATTTTTTTGGGTTAGGATTACTGAATTGCTGCTTGGGCCCACTGCTCCAGCCTTTCTGGGGCCTGGGCTGCCATGGGGCTGCTAACATACAGGGGTGTGGATTCAACCTCTGAGCACAGCATGGGATTGGCACTAGTTAGCTGCAAAAGAGCAATCGGAAAATCAGGCACTGTGTTGTCGACTTGGAAGGCCTTTCTTGGTCACCTGCCTGGTCTCACATCCTCCAGATGAATTCGCGGCATCTTCAGTGCTTCTCCACATTACATTCCTGAAAAAAAAACTTCATGGGCGTGCCGGGGATTCCTGTATGTACTGTATGTGACTTTCTCACATACACATGGATGAAACGACGCTTCCTGCTTGACAGAATGGCAAAGGGCTTCTAGTCTGGCTTCGAATCACTAGACACGTATCCCGCAGAACCAGATGACCCGAAACAAAACCACAAGCGTGACACTATTCAACTATCCTCGTTCCTCTCTCATATGCAATTATTGAAGACAAACTTCAGATGCTGAGATACGAATGAAAATCTGCAACAGATGCAGAGAGCACATCCGCGAAAAGGAACAAGCCCTAGCTTCACAACACGACGCGGAGAACCTGTTCTCCTACCTTGTGAAGGGGAACGGGCACAGCGACGGCATATCAAGCAAAAGACCCATGCAATTAAATACTTCCGCCACATATACAAGGCGGGAAACTTAGATGAAGCCAGAAGCAGTCAAAGCAACCTGTTTTGATGGTCGCCTCACGGTCTCCAGTCGACTGGTCATAGGGCACGATGCAAGCGCCTCAGCAGAGCATTCCTGCTGAAGCTTGGCAAGACATAGCACGATACATTCCATGGAATTCTGCTCTTAGTCAGCCACCCAGTCTAGAGCCGCATCAACTTGGCCCTGCAGGGAACTGAGCAGGCTGAATTGGTAACCTGCAAGTTCTTTGGTGTTGCTGCACTTGGCACCTGCATCTTGGCTGTGCTCGCCAGAACGCTTGCTACCTGTCCATGACAAGTTCCTTGGAGGATGAACCCTAAACCGTAAACCCTAATCCTAACAGGAAAGAGACTGTAGCCGAAGTCGCTGTGAGCATTGCCTCGAGGAGCAGCTTGCGATCCAACACCTTCTGGAGCTCTGGATCCTTTCCATTCCAGAATACGGGGGTTATATTGGGATAATGGAAAAGAAATGGAAACTACTACATTATCGGGGTAATACTATAGGGTTATATCGGGATAATGGAAAAGAGAAAATGGAAACCACTATTTAGGGTTTAGGGTCTAGGGTTGCATTGCATCAGCACCAAACTGTTGGCCCTGTTCTTTCAAAGACAATCAATGCCTAGAAGTCAAGTGAGTACTTTGCCACAAGCAAATAGGAAGCCAGGAACTGCTTTACCTAAACCCTGAAACCCTAAACCCTAAATAGTAGTTTCCATTTTCTTTTCCATTATCCCAATATATACCCTAAACCCTACACCCTAAACCCTAAATAGTAGTTTCCATTTTCTTTTCCATTATCCCTATATGCCCCCTATATTACCCCTATTTTTGGGACATCTAAACCCTAAACAACAGAAAGCTCCTGCTCGGCCATAGAGATCCAACCTCGCAAGCTGGTCTGTTCTTTACACACAAGATGTCTACGAAACATTGATGGAAAATGCAGAAACTGCTGCGGAGCCATCTGGATGAGTACACCACGCAGCGTCCACAGCAAGGTCCTGACCGAACTGGCCAAAATCACCAGAGAGCTGGATCATGTGAGCCATAGTCTAAACTCCTAGCATCCTCTTTATTAACCCCTATAATAGTACTCTATATAATAACCCCCCCTTTAAGGAGTTTAGACTATAGGTCATGTGTCAAGATGGACTAGACTAGAAGAACTCTGGGCCGGGCCGTTCCAGTGCAGGCTTGTCGGCAGGCAACCATCCAGTTTCGTGTGTGGCCTTCCAACTCAAATTACATTCCTTAAATCTCTATATTCCCCCAGTTTCCATTTCATGGTCCATGTTGTTTTCCATTTGATTCTCCATTATAGGCGGATAATAACCCCTATATAACCCCCTATACAATCCCTATAAAACCCCCTAATAATCCCTTTAATATAGTATAACCCCCTATATAATCCCTATAAAACCCCCTAATAATCCCTATAATATAGTAATCTAAACAAGAAAGTTCACCAAGGTCGGAATTATCACTCTGAGCAGAAAGAAATAAAACCCAACAGCTGATGGCGGTATACCTGAAACATGGGAGTTTCCCAAAATTAGGTGTAACTTTTTGGGAGTCCCTATATCAAGGATTACAGTAGTTTGGGGTCTATATTGGGGTCCCCCCATTTTGGGAAACTACCACATGCACACCGCATCACCGACATTCATTTAAGGACTCTCTTGGCTGGCCAGCACGAACTTCAACAAAGTTTCGAGCAGTGTCACCTTAGCCAGTGGACAGTTTGCATAACATCTACTGGAATTCTGCATGCTCTCTTCGATTCTTAGATCCATGCAATGCAACAGCGCTGATTTTGGAGCAAGTTTGGTCAGTAGCAAGCAGAACTTGGACGTTGTACAGTGCAGGCACCCGGCCCAAGATAAGCCTCGGGCATGATAATGTAGACCCCTGATTGATAAACCCTTCCCCGATCATAACAGGGATCCTAATATTAAGGCCCTGAAAAGGAGGAGGTTTATTAATCACGGGTCTACATTAACCACAATGACATTATCAGGGCAAAAGGAAGATTTTGGATTCCCGGGCCGGGGCCGGAAATGTCATGCAGCCCTATGCCTGTGGCTTACATTGATGAACACATGGAGGCGAGTGACGGCGGCTCAGCTTGGGCGTATCAAGGTTTCGTAAATCTGAGCCGCGTGTGCTACACGCTGTTCGTGCAGTTGGTCACCTGAATTTGCCGCGCTGTACATCTGAAGCCTTCACTTGTAGGATTTCACCTTCGAGGACAGGAGGTCCGCCAAAGGGCCCAGCATCTTGTTGAACGACAGCCTGGACATCGAGAGAACCTTGGCAGATTCACTCTCCACAATGATGCTGGCCGCGCGTGGCTGGTTCTTGAGAAGCGCAAGCTCGCCGAAGTAATCGCCGACCTTGTAGTCCATAACGCGCGTCTCAGTGCCGTCGATAACCTTCAAGGCATAGAGCGTGCCTTCCTCAACAATGTAGAACTTGTCTCCCGGATCATCCTGCTTGACGATACAATCACCCTTGTTGAACTTCTCCGGCTTCAGCGCGTCGGCAATCTGCGAGCGCTCATAAGCTTCAAGCGAGGCGAGGAGAGTGACTGACTGGAGGAACTCATCGTACTTGTTGCGGCGGGCTACGGCAGCATCCTTGACCTGTAGTTTCCTTAGACCTATACCAAGAATAGTATTTCTGATATTTCCTTAGGGTTATACTATAGTAAAACTTCAAAATGATTGCTCAGGACAGTGCAGTGACGATGTAGTTGAAGGACTCGCGGTCAAGCTCCCAACAAATGCACTCCACCTTCGCAACCACGGAGGCGGCACGAGGACAGTTATAAAGCAGGGCAAGCTCACCGAAGACGTCTCCCTCATTCACCTGGGTTGCTGTTAAGGAACTTAAATTAAGTTACCATAATGGGTATATATAGTAAATAATAGGGTTTCCCCAATATAGTAACTTAATTTAAGTTCCTTAACAGCAACCCAGTCACAGTCTTAACCACCTTCTCCTCTCCATTGGATGTCTTTAAGCACTCAAGCTGGCCCTTCTCAATGACAAACAGGAAGTCACCATTGTCCCCCTCATTGATGACTTTCTGCCCAGCTTCGAACTTGCACTCCTTCATGGCACCCAGTATGGTGGTCATGTCCTTGTCCTCCAAGCTAGAGAACATGAAGCTCTTGGAGAGCGTCTGCTTCAAGCGCTGCTTCTGCTCGTCTGTCTTCGGATGATCTGGTGGTGTAAAGTCCTTTTTCTGGTTCCAGGCTCCGTAGGCCTCGGCGCTGACAGAGGTACGGGTCTTGCCCATGCTCTCCTCTGACTTTCGGAAAGCCTCTGGGATTTCATCACAGTCATCATCTTCATCCTCCTCTTCTTCCTCCTCTTCTGCTGGTGCGGCTGCGGCTGTGCTAGCTTCTTCCAAAGACCCCTGCAAGTAGCGGAGCTCCTGCTTCAAGTTCTGGTTTCTCTGCGACACGGATATCTTCTCTGTCGCATCAGCAGCACGACCAGTACGTTTGATGAGCCACTGGATCATGAAGTCCATGGGCACCTTCGGCATATCGGCCAACACATCACTTACCATTTCTTCAAGGATTGGATCCAAGGTCTTGAGGATGTAGTCCTTCTTTTCCTCAGCAAACGGCAAGCCATCTACAACGGACATGGCGACGCAACACGGCTGAGGACCTTTCACTGGCCAAGCAGTAGCCTTTTCAGACTAGGCTTGAGCACTAAGAGCAATTGCATTGGTACAGTGTGGAAAATGCACCAACAACAGCGAGCGCCACTGTAAGGGCAGACAATAACTGCGTTCCTGTTAATGAACTTGATTTCAGTTACTACATTGGGGAAACCCTATCAATTACCATATAGATATATACATATATATATATATGTATACCCATTATGGTAACTTAATCTCTGTTTCTTTAACAGCAACCCAGATAACTTTGCTCCGGCTTTCTGGGAGCCTCACCGCACCCGGCCACGATGTGTCTCCCGGGCTGGCGGCCCTGAGCTTGAAGCTGAGCTGGAACAAGATTATCAAGAAGAATATTAATAGTAGTAGTAGTAGTAGTAGTAGTAGCAGCAGCAGTAGTAGTAGTAGTAGTAGTTAGAACAGTAGATAGTAATGACAGTATTATTTCATGTTCCATGTACTCTTAGATATGATTCTTCATTCTTCCCGAAGCCCTATGGAGTTAGCAGAGTCCTCGCCCATTTTTGGGCATAGTACTAAGTAGAAGTCTCCCCTGAGATCACAAGTACTACCCACATCTATTCCGGCAATCAGCTATTGGCAGGAGCACCCGGTTTTAGCATGGCACTCACCAGCATCCCGAGCTTCCCCTCAACCCTAAACCCTAAGCCCTAAACCTTAAACCCAAGACCCTAAACCTTGACACAGCAAGGTTCCAGGTTCAACGGACAGACGGAATGCTTCTATAGCGATTATATAGGGATTATATGTGAATGTATATAGGGATTATATAGGGTTATATCGGGTTATTTAGTGGACTGCCCATGCATGTTTGCACCGGGGTTTCCCATCCCCGAGGGCACGAACCCGGAAATACATCTGTTCACATGAGCTATAGTCTAAGCTCCTAGTATGCCAGTATGCCCCCTAATATCCCCTACTTGGAGGGTCAGGGAGACTTAGTAAGTAGGTTAATAACCCCTATAACCCATATAGTAAGCCCACTTATCCCCATTATTAACCTACTTACTAAGTCCCCCTGACCCCCCAAGTATAGTATTGCCCTATATAATCCCCTATACAGCCCCCTTTAAGGAGACTAGACTATAGTTCACATGTGTTCTTCGAAAGTAGGGAGATGTGAAAGTAAAGATATGCCAACGAAAGGCTTCAAATGCAAACTTACTGGTGGTTGGTGGGGAAGCAGGGAATCGAATCCCTATACAAGAGATTCCCTTGTTCAGCAGTAACCCCCAGTAAGCAAAGCACGCCTCATTTGATGACGAGCATTTGGATTGTGAAAATGGGATAGGCTCACTGGGCCTTTGTATGATAAAGGGGCTTTGGTAACCCCAACCCCCAAAGATAATTAGGACCATATAACCAGCATATGATAGTCATAGGGTCCTAATCTTGGGGGATGGAAACCCATATCGTTTTACATCCTTCTTCCGACCGCGTGCTGGTGGCAGCATACTCGCTTTATGTTCACGTAGAGTAGAATGCTTTCGGTGTGAGTGGTACAGACTAACATATTTAAATGTCAAAACATTCTGTAGTAACAAAGGTTTGTTGGGGAGTCAGATTGCATAAGTGATGCGGAAAGCCTTCCCCTTAATTGGGTCTTTGTTCCTTCCTTAATTCTACTTGGGAAAGGTACACCTCATACTTTTGATCACATTTATGATGCGAAGCTACGAAGGGATTGCAAAGGCTGGAATGTGGGCAGCCCGTCATGGATCTCATGATCTTTTCACTGTGATCTACTGAGATGGTTTAGGGTTTAGGGTATGCGTAAGTGCAAGCATTATACTTGAGCAACAAGATGCAATCAATCATGCCTGAATTGTCAAGATGCATCTCCAATCGAAAAATAGAACCATTAGCTTCTTGTGCAAGTCTGTGCTATTACTCAAAGTGGGCAAGCTCTACTCTCTTTTATAGACGAGGTTATAACGCAGTAGTCTCTAATTTTCCAGTATCCCCATATCATACCCTTGTATGATGCCCCTATATTCTACCCCCACCCCATACACCCCCCCCCCTGAAAACTGAACCCNNCACATACATATATGTATATGCATATATATATATATATTATAACATAGACTCCCATACGTCACCGCCGATTTATGGCTCCTTGGGACTGGGCCGCTGCATGGCCAGCATCACAGCTTGAGCCTTGGCGGGAGTTGTAGCAAAGCCTTGCAAGCCTATCAGTTGTTGTTGTTATTCTTATTATTATTGCTTTGCTTATTGTGTTGCTGTTCTTGTCGTTCTTATTGTTGCTATGTTTGCTAATAGTCTTGTTATGCTTGTGCTTGTTATTATTATTGCTACTGTTGTTATTGTTATTGAAAATATTGTTATTACCCTTACTGGTATCATTATTACCGATGTGGAGACCCCGCGCCTTGGGCCAGTGCGCATCCGCCATGTCAGAGACAAAGCGCTGTAGCCGCTGCCTGCACATGCATCACATCTGCAGGGCCAATCAACGTACTGCCGGCCAGTCGATCTTAGCAGCGACTGAGCATGCGAGATTCAAGCAGAACACCAGCGAAACACTCTGGATGCACTTCCTGCCTGCACTCAGGAAGAAGGTCTCCGAAACGATGCGATACGGCGACCAAAGCCTGAAAGGGGGCAGCAAGTACCTCAAACCGGAGCCTGAATCCTGACACCCCCCAACATCGCGCCACACCATGACTTCCGAACGGCGTCAATTCGAGCTCTTAGGCCAACACTCTGACCGTGACATCGCCATCGTCTAACCTGTTGAATCCCCTCCCGCGGAGATTTGACACACAAGCTCCCCATTTCTCAGAAGGCCCAAATGCAAAATCGTCTTTGGGCTCCCTACTACGCGCATGTTCCCACAAGGCGTGGAAATGTTCAGCGCACATGCAACAGAGGGGCAGGTGCTTCGCTCAGAGATCTGCTTTGTGGATTCGACGCTTGAAATAGAGGTTCGCTTTCGGTGGAGTGTTTAGTTTGAAGTTGTGCTTTGGAGTGGGACATTTGGGTTAGGGGTGCACCATTTGGGGCCGGGCGTTTGGCTTATGAAGAGGTGCGCTTTGGGCGAGGTATGAAAAGTTGTTGGCCCTGTCATTGTCAGCCCACGCCCTGCCATCGTCTTCAGCAGACTTGGGCTTGCTGAGCATTGTTGCCCATCAAGAGACTACTGAGGCGCATGCGTCATCATCTTTGCCATCCGCATCGACCACCACAGGTTTTGCAAAAACTTTCAAATAATCATGACTACCTACTTCTTTCCCCACCACCTCGCGCACGCGGACTCAGACTTTACTTTTGTGAGCACCACTGCCGGGTCTACCCCTGCCGACCCAGTCCCCATAACAACAGTAATATCTGGAACTCTCGAATGCCTAACGATTCTGCTTCACATTTATGCGCCCCCACCCCAAAAGCACATGCATAAGCGGGTGGGGATCTGGTTGAGACGGAACTTTACAAAATGATTTTGCAATGCAGCTGGTGGAGTGCTTGTTCGTCCAGCAGCCCCGCTGTAGAGCTTAGGCCAAACTTCTGAAGTATCAACAAATAAAACAAGCCAGAGGCACATGCGCATCAACTTGACATAGTCGAAGTATCCTGGCAAAGCATCTTAAATACAGACCTAGAAGGCCAAGAAAATAATGAAGAATCTACTGCCTACTGATGATGGAAGCCGATCCTGGCACTGCATCTCGGTCCCAGGGAAATGCCAGCATGGCGTACACCTGAGGCAGACTTCTTAGAGATCTTGGAGCTTCTAAAAAACAAAGGGAGCATCTGCAGGGTACTGCAAACACAGAACAGCTGGCATTTGGGGTCTACGGCATGCCACACAGACGTGAAGATAAAATCCAGGCATCTTATTTTGTGCAGCATGTGGGAGGAAGAGAGCCACATCAGCTGGTCACAGAAGGCAGAGCAATGTAAATCTCAGTGTCAGAAAGCAATATTCATTGGGTTTATATTGGTGTTACATTGGGATAATGGAAAAGAAAATGGAAACTACTATATTATAGTAGGGTATATATAACATAGTAGTTTCCATTTTCTTTTCCATTATCCCAATGTAACCCCAATATAGTAGGGTATATATTGGGGTAAAACTTTTATCTGCTAATCAGGCTGAGCGGGCTCCCATGATGCAGCCAGCGTGCCTTTATGAAGCTGACCCCTCACAGCCTGGGTGTTCCTGCAACTCTGTATTGGGGGATTTCCAAAATTAGGGGTACTTTTTTGGGGTCCGCATAATTAGGATTGCAATATTTAGGGTCTGTATTGGGGTCCCCCTATTTTGGGAAATTACCACTACTGGGAGTTTCTCAAAATAGGGAGCCCTTAGGGAACCTGGAAAGATATTGGGCTTGTGAGGTAGGGGTTACATCGGGATTATTTGGAGAAACTCTCAAACCCTAAACCCTAACCCCTAAACCCTAAACCCTAAACCCTAAACCCCTAAACCCTAATCCCCAAACCCCTAAACCCTAAATCCTATTCCGCTACATCTCAGACTTGCTCTGGCGCTTGGCAAGATCCAGGGATCCAGGCCAGACCCAGAATCACGGAGTCGCGCTTGTTGGATCCATCCTCAACCATCCGAGTTGCACGGTAATTTGGGTTTAGGGTTTAGGGAATTATACACTGCTGACAACAACGTGGGTATTCACATATATATATATATAGATGTATATATGGTCCTGCGCTCTGCGTTCCCAGCCCCCCCACCCCCCAATGGTATCCCCCCCCCAC